ATCACATATAATCATCAACGTGATGATCAATTTGAAATGGCTCGACCAATTATGATTGATTTAAAATATCATATTGCTTCACAATTAAAAATTCATTTATATTTTGATGGAAATTGGATTTTAATTAGTGAAGTTACTTTTGATTCATTTATTGTACCAACTACTTTAATTATCAAATCAGAACAACAACAACAAAAACAACAATTACAATCAATTTATTTTTCAATTAATATTATGATTATATGTATAGCAACTATAATAATTATTTTAGTATTTGTATTGATCATTAGTCTTACTCGATGTCTATTCAATAAAAGTTTAAACAATAAAAAAACTTATTTTACACCAATTCATAATCATACTGACTCATCAGCATCAACAACATCAAGTGAAATTGATATCGGTTCATCACATCATCGTTATGCAACTATTGGATCTAATCATCCATATCTTATTTATACTAATGGAAATATATCATCTTCTCATTATTCTAAATTTATGTCAACAACAACTTTATTACGATCACCATCGAAAAGTCTACACTATCATATAGAAGGTGTTTGTGGTAATAGTTCATATGGTACACAAAGATTATTTAGCTTTGATTTAAATCAAAATCAATTTATACCAAGTCATAAAATTAATATAAAACGACGAATTGATAATCGTCATCAAATTCTTGGTGGTGGAGAGGTAAATATTATGAATATAATCGAGAAGGAATTAAGAATAGAAAAATCCATAGAAGACCATAACAATCGTATTTTGCTTGGATCCTTTATATAAATTGTTCTTGTGTTTTTTAACTATTGAATAATAATTTGTGTACTCGAAACGAAACTAGTCCAGTTTTAACCTATCTTTTAAGCTCACATTGAGTCTATAAGAAGGTTTGAGCAAGACTAGAAATATTCCAAAAGGATTTATCTCTATGGGCGTTTTACTAAATTCTATACACATTTCTCAGTATTTACTGGTAAATATAATAGTCGTTTGTCATAAAAATCGAGTTCACATAATTTTTGATGGAAATTCCATGTTTTAATTTTCCAGAAAACATCTAAAATTGCTTCAAAGATTCAGTAAAACCGAGTGGTCGCTGGAATAGGACTCTCGTCAGTGAATAGAGTCCGTCGGATATGAGCCCGAATACGAAAACTTTGAATCCAACAGGCTCTATTAGTAATACTTCCCATATATATATATATAAATTTACATGCAAGGATATCTTTTCTGTAAAGTGTTACAGTCGATATATCATCTCTTATAAAAAAAATTTATTTTATGTTAAGATTTGTCAAGGTGAATTACAATTAAATCAATCATTAATACCAATAACTATTCGACGTCTTCTTCCCAATGCCTCAGTACAATCAAAGTAAAGAGAAAATATTTCTTTTAATTATGTAAATAATTTTATTATTATGTTATTTAGAATTTCATTTTTTAATGAAATAAGTCTTTTAACATCACTTTGTCATCCAAATATTATTCATGCATATGGATTTTGTTCTGAACCAAGTATATCTTTATTAATTGAATCATCTGATATATCTACAGTAGATCTTTATCAATATCTTCAAAATTATAAACAAGAACAACCAATTAAAACTATTCTTTATACTACAACAGTATTTTTTGCAACTCAAATTTCATCAGCTTTAACTTATTTAGAATCTTTACATATTTATCATCGTGATATAGCCGCACGAAATTGTTTAGTTTCAATAGATCTTAATATTAAATTACACGATTTAGCTATGTGTAATGAAATCTATGCAGATGATTATGTATTAGTAACAGTTGGAAATGATATACAAGCAAGAAGACCTATTCGATGGTGTGCTTGGGAAACAATTTGTTTAGTAAGATAAAAAAAAATCTTTGAATTATTTTTTTGAGAAAATAAATGCTGTTTTTTTTTCCTTATAGAATCGATTTACATCAAAATCTGATGTTTTTTCATTTGGTGTTCTTCTTTGGGAAATATTAACCATGGCTGAACGACCACATAGTTTATTAGATGATGAACAAGTTCTTTTTAATTTACGAAATTCTAATCATTGTTTAACTATTCCATCATATGCAGATGATTTAATAGATTTAATTTTATCATGTTGGAATAAATGTGACTATGATCGACCTTCATTTTATCAATTAAATCATTTATTAAGTCAAAAACAACAACAACAACAATTTTTGACAATGAAATCTGATAATTATCAACAGATTGACTAAATTTTGTATTATTATTATTATTATTATTTGACATTTAACAATAGCCCGGTTGCTTGTTTTTTTTTTGGTTGTGTGGTTTTAAATAAATATAATGACAGCTATTGGAATTTTATTTGTCTAACAAAGAAATAATTTGTTTTATTAGACTAACCAGTACAAAAAAGATTTTTGTACTGTTCGATATATAAAGTTTTTGTTTGAGATTATTGCCATTATGAATATTGGATTTTTGCTCGATAAGCATAGAATCATTAGGAAACTGACGATGCCTACTTTGAGCTGTTTCTAGTGACTATTTAATCTATCTGTAAACGAAATTTCAACTCAAAATTCAATAATTCAGGTTCTCATCGAGTGAAATCGAATAAAATGCCTATAACTCGACTAGCAAGAATCGAAAAGCCAAAAGAAAACAGTCTGTTTTACTAATCATCATGATCGATAAAATGACCATAGTCTCAAGTGAAAGGTGACTGAACAGTTACGAACATCTCATTGTGAGTAGTTAGTTTTGCTCTTAGTAAATTCAAATTTTTTTTTATTCGAAATAGAATCCATCTGATCGATGTCAAACTTGAGAAGCTGTAGGTCGAAGATTACTTTTCATTGAATCGTCTAACAGATTAGTGTTTTTTGTCATATCAACTATTCTTCTTAATGCTAGTATTTAAAATGATTTCTTACATACAAAACTCAAGATTTCAATATGATTTGGACAATTAACAACCTGCATCCTAAACACTATCGTCAGTTATATGATTTACAATTTGGTGAGAATATCGAATAAAACAAAAGCTAAAGTAGCTGCCTAATTCGAGTTCGAATATTTCCAACGCACACACCTATTTTAATAGTCGAAGCAAAAGACAAAATTTCATTCATATTACAGTTTAAAATTCTGTTTTAAATGAATTCCCATGTACGTTTTGTAAAAAAAAAAGGAAAATCTACAGTTTATCACAATTACAGCTTATAACTAAAATTGACTGGTGATGCATTTTGAAATAAAGAATATAAATGAAGTTTTTCAGAAGCTGCAACAGCCTCACTATATAGACATATTCGGCTACTAGGAATCACTAGTGAAACTTTGCTTACATTTATTTACTGTGGTCAAATTTTTTCAATGCTCGAAATGAAGATGGACGTTACCGTGTCTACAGAGCCGTGACACAGATATAACAGGTCAGTAGTGTGGCAAAACGAGCTTCTTTCTAGTGATTATTCATTATGGCAGATTTCAGATATTCAACGAATAATAAGGCAATGAAAGATGAACTACCTATCTAACTGGTGTGTCTCTTTCCAGAAACAAATCCTTCAATAGTTAAAATCTAGTGACAGTCTCGACTTATATCTTATGGTTCAGATAAAATATTATCTTTTGCCTTTTTGTCGTAGCTATATGGAGCGTTTGCTTCAATTTGGAAATTCGAACTCGAATCCTAATAAAACTTTATCTTTTTCTTTTTTGTCGTAATAACATGGAAACCTTGTTTTTATTTTCGAAGTGATATCGAGCAGTTGAAGCTCTATATATATTTGAACTCGAATTAGGTATCTCATGTTAAAAGAAAATTAAAATCATTCATAAAGGAATAGATCAATCAATTCAAAGACTAATATCGACAACAAATTCTATATTTCTTTTTTTTGGAAGACACATTAATTTTTTTGAAAAGAACGATGTTTGGAGTCACCTTCAAAGACTAACAATTATATCAGGAACGAAAACAAAAAGCAAATTTATGATTGCCTACAGTCAGTTTCAATAATAAACTAGCCATTCATATTATTTGCTTTGGTTTTGTTTCTAGTCAAAGCTTTCTGTTTATCATTCTTACCTTTAAGTCATGCTGATGATTCATAAAGATATCTAATTGTACTAATGTTTTCTCCTTCTTGGATAACACTTAGGAGATACAATGCCATCTTTCGAATGTGCTCACACTCAAATTGGAACGACAATAAGAGAAAAATGCGATGCAAAGTTCTCCGATATTTTAGAGATTAACGATTTTATTGCCTTATGCGACAGATTCAATTTTGATTTTTACATAATCTCGACGCATTATCACGAATGTCACTTATTAGCTTTTCTTCAACGAAGTCCATTTCCATAGCTCAAGATCGATGCAGATAAGCAGAAAAATGATACCTATCATTGAAGTAACACCTAGGTTCTAAAGCATGTAACTATATTATAATCTTCTCACAAAAACTTGATTTCTTTCAATATATTTCTTTTATTGTTGAATCTTAAAACTCTTGCATTGCAAATTATTACTTTTCTCACAATGGAACGATTACACAGACTGATTGTATATTTCATATTAACTCAATACTTACTGCTTGCTTTGTATTTTTTTTGTTCTGAAATAGGATTAAATATATTTAAAAAAATATATAAAAATGATATCGACTTTCTATTTATTGAAGAATGCAGCTAAAACCATCATTCGTAAGCAAGAAATATAAAGAAAAAAAGGATTCACTTTTCCTTCTATGCAAACCATGATCATGATGGTAAAGTATTATTGCATATTCATTCTTATCAGGTAATTAACGATTTCTTTTAATTTGAATCCTTCAAATATTTAATTAACATCTATTATAGCTCGTCAGGTTTGATTAATATTTTATTTTATGTGTCCAACTATTGACATTTAGCTATACAAATTCATACGAATTTTCAATAGTGTCATAAAAAGTCTCCATATGATCAATGTTCGATGAATAGCTTATGTGGATGTTTTCATACAATGAATAATATTAGTAGTAGCATTTGTGCATTTCTTTGGTTAACTTGTTCCGAATTAATATCATGTGGATCTCCAAACAATATCTGCTATGAACCTAATCATATCTGTGTTCACCATCCACGATGTTTTGATCATCCTGTTTGTTATCCTTTATCAAAAGTGAATCAAGAATTCTGTCCATCAATAATAAGTAAAACGTTTATATTCATATGTTCTTTGTGATATTCATATCACGAGTTGTGATTTTGGAATATTCTACTGAAAAATAGCATGTTTTTTTTCGATATTATATTCTTGTATCTAGTTTTCATTTGATTGAAACTTTATGCTCAAAGACTTTTGAATAGATATATTCTCCCTTTGAATATAGTCACGAATGCTACAATGACGACAAGTACAAGTACTATAACATCTAGTAAGTGTGAAATTCTTTCTTAAATAAGTATATATCATATACTTTAACTTGATTCATTTCTAACTTAGTTTTATTGATAAATTGTATATTTAAAATGATTATTTTATTGATGAAACATATTTTCGAGCTGATATTTAACATTGATGTTTGTAAAAAAAGAAGATATTGATTTCTAAACTTATTAATAACAACAATTGAGAGAAGGATCGAATAAGATGATGTCTGAAATTCATGTATACAAAGTAAGCATTTTGCTAAATCTAATTATTTAGCTCCATTATTGGTGTCAAAACCAAATGATGGTATTTGTGAAAATGCGATATGGTCATCAAATGGTACTACTGTCGCTGGTAGAATCGATGGTCTCGGATCTTCACTTAATAGATTGTATGGTCCTTGGGGACTTTTTGTGGATGGCAATCAAGTTATATATGTAGCAGATTCGAAAAATCATCGTATAGTCAAATGGGAACAAGATGCTTCGTGTGGTCAACTAGTTGCAGGTGGAGAAGGAAGTGGAAATAATACTGATCAATTAAATCATCCATCAGATGTGGTCGTCGATAGAGATGGATCAATCTATATTAGTGATACAGAAAACGGACGTATTCAACAATGGTCTTCAGGTGCTAAGAATGGAAAAACAATCATCAAAGATATATCATCTCCTGTTGGCATATCAAGAGATAAGCAAGGATTACTATATGTATCTGATTGGAAAAAAGGCGAAATAAAAAAGTGGGATGTTGGTGCGACCATTGGACAACTAGTTGCGTCGAGACTTAGCGGTCCACGATTTATGTTCATTGATCAAAAGAAATCTATTTACATAGCCGAGCAGAGACGTGATCGAATAATAAAAGCTGATGATGCAATACCATCACAATCTTCAATGCTTGTTGGTGGATCTCTTGGTAATGGTTTAAATCAATTATCGAGTCCATACAGTGTTATTGTCGATGAATTAGGCACTCTCTATATTGCTGATACTAATAATCATCGAATCATGCGTTGGGTACGTGGAGCTCAATCCGGAAAGGTCATAGCTGGTGGGCAAGGAATGGGTTCTCGATACGATCAACTTAGTTATCCACATGATTTATCATTTGATCTTAATGGAAATCTCTATGTAGTTGATTATGGAAATCATCGAGTGCAAAAATTTGTCAGTGATAAGAGTTTATGTCAATAAATTCAATTTAAGTAATAAAAGTAAAAGAAAACCCAGAATTTCAAGCCAATTATATTTTTCTTAATGTGGAGAAATTTTTTTTCGTTTAATCAAATCAAAAAAATAAATATTTGCTCAGAAAGTTCCCAAAAATATGATTTCTTATTGCATTAAAGGCTTAACTTTATTGTGGAAAAACAATGGAACTGCTGAAAAAAATTCTTTTCGAATCAGTTTAGAAGGAGCATTCCAACTATCGGCAATGACTTGGTTTCGGTGATTTCCCATATCATAATTCGTCATTGCTTGTGGTGCAACGACTTTCTCTAAGTGTATTCGTACAAAATAATTTGCATGCGAATCTATATCTAGATTAGATGTGAGAAAACAGTAATAATAAGCGATAGTTATATGTGATAAAATATATTTTAAAGGTCCTTGAGAACATTGGTTTTAATAGAGAGTAATGGATTGATTTTAAAAAATGTTTGGTATCGAGTATTCAACAGCTAGGATGTAGACTTCATGTGATTGTCACGATGAAACATTGATAAATACGCCAACATCAAACATATCACGCATAATATGTACGTTTTGAGTTTACCAACTTTTAAATAAAATATATTGTTTTAAAAATGACAAACATTTTCACTCCATTCTTATATGTGTTGAAATCAAGAACAGAAAAAACACTACAAAAAGTAAACATACATTATTCTGTCTACTAAAATGAAATAAGAAAGGCAAAAATATTCATCTACTATCGACTTTTGAGCGTTTAGCGTTGGCACATTAATGAATTGAGATTAAAGCAGCCAGTAAAGTTTGCAACGTTAAGTCAGAAAATAAGCGATAGCAGATAATGAAACATGGTTTTTAGCTTTGATAACGTACACATGCATTCTTATGCTTATCATGACGTCTACTACAAATAAATCTTACATTTTCCAACTTCATTTACTGAATTCAGCATAAAGTAATGATTGACGCCTTTCTTCTTTAAAATGAGACTAAGCTTTCATCATAATTTTTCCTAAAATTCGAATAGATTCAAACAAGTTTAGATACACATGACAGAAGAGTATTGTCTCATATTTATGTATTTGTAAGTACAATGAGGCACAATGTAATTTACCCAATAGCTCGTTCGATCAAAAATAATCATAAGACGTTTGCATACATAAAAGCCCTTAATCATCAGTATCATCCGTACTTTAGTTGCTAGAATCATCATCATCGTTTAGTTTTCTTTTCTATCTCTTCAACATAAATATTGATATTTTAAAAAATTGTTTCATATTGTTTGACGTGACTGATGTAACTGGTTGCTTCCGTCATACGTAAATCATAAATCCATTCTTGTGCTCATTCGCTCACTTTATTTGAAGTAAACGTTGTGTTTCTATCACGTATACATGCTTTCATATTAGCTTGGGTCAACTCTATAGAACTTAGGATACAGTGTCTTATTAGTAGAGGAATGTGGATGTGATAGTAGCTGAAAAAAACCGATATCTTTACCCGCACCCACATTCCAGACCACATATCAACTCTCTCCCATACCCATCCTTTAATAATTCTGTGCAATATCAAAACATTGAAGACTGACCTGTGATAGCGAGGAAGAATCATAATGTACAACTGTTATTCATTTATACCGGATTCAAATAACAACGAATAAATTATTCTTGAATACTTTGTCTCGTTCAAGCTCTGCTACAGAAAAATATAAACTCCATAAAAGAGAATCCAGCATCGCAAAAATCAATACAAAAAAAGAATTTCAAAAAAAAAAGAAATCGATATAGCAGAGGACACTACTTCCATATCTTTCTGCCACAAATACATTTGTATACATGCAATGCCGCCAAAGAAAACAAAACATAGTTCTTACTCATATAAAACAGACAACTGTTGAGTATAAAAAGTTTTAGAAGATAAAGAAGTTAAAGCGCAATAGTTACATCGAAGAAAGAGATCGACTAATGCAAATCAATGATGCTGAAGAGTCGCACGAAAGCAGCAACCATGGAGATTAACCTAAGTGATGAATAGCGGATCCTAGAGCCATAGAATTCTGTGCAATTCAAAGGAGTTCCACGGAATCCGAGGGAATTCTAAATTCCGAATTCCGCAGATCTCCAAACCATTTTGAAACGTATCACAGAAAATTCGTAGAATTCCAGAGTTCCAGGATTCTGCTTCTCATCCCTAAGATCAGCCCCTGAAATATTAAACAGTTTTCATTCTTTTCGTCGTCAAGCGTTCAGTATTTGGGTACAAAAGCAAAAAACAAAGCTAGCACTGTAATCTCTGAAGAATGAAGACCTGAAAATGATAGGAGTCCTTGCGTATTACATTAGAGGATGTTCAGAAAGTATCTTAGAGTCATAACTGTAGCGTTCTCTTAGTACATTGCAAGAGAAGATGTACATTTTTCTTCAAGATGAGCGAAGAAGACAAATACTCTACAACTCTATACTTAATCTTAGTCTACCGTTGTTCAGCGAAAAAAGAACACAGGAGAAAAACATTCAAAATACTGTCGAATAGAACGCAGATCAGTGGGCGAAATAAAAACACACACATACATCGCTATATCGATAAGAGACACGAACATGAGCCAGAACACAACAGACAAAAAATATAGCTAAACAAAACGACGCGTTTATAGGATGCGGAAACTGCAACATATATATATCTAAATTAATCATAGAACTTCGAAAAACCAAAATTAAGTGATATGATGTTTAGGGTGCAGCAAAAATATATAAGAAACAATCCAGAACCAGTTCGACCATACGATGATGCACAATAAAACAACGAACCTTTCCGATGAACTATACTACATCTTTCCCTTAACCTATTGCTTCTCCGCGTGAACTTCGAGAACCTTTTGTACTTTTTTCTGAAAATCTATTCTAAGCTTCTCTAGTAATTGTGAATTATGAATAGCAATCTCAACTGGTTCTATATTTCCATATATTGACGCAGTATTCTCACTGATGACAACTGCAGCTCCTTCAGACAAACATGCAAAAAAGGCAGCATCTAACCAAATAGAATCTTCTGTGTGTAGGAAAACCTTCAAAAGCTCTACTGTAGCTTGAAATTGTTCACCTAAACACTTTTCACTGTTCATTGTAGTCTTCTCTTTAAAACTTCTTGTACTACATACGTCACTCGTATTCCAAAAGTGACCGAGAAGCTTCTCCACACTTTTTTCCGCTGACTTTCTGCCAAAACTATCACCCAGCCAAATCATTAGTTCCCGAATCACTTCTGCAGTTGCAGCTTTTTTACCCATCATCCCAATAGCTTCACCACTACTGATTCGGACAATCCAGTCTTCGTCTTGCAGTGTATGCAGGAGTCCATTAATCACTACACTGTTAGCTGCTTTTTCACCCATTTTTCCTAAAGCTTCACATGCACGACTCCTAACATCTGCGTCTTCGTCCCGTAGTGCATTCATGAGCTCGCTGATCATCTCGGTGCTTGCTTCATACTCACCAATGTTACAGAGAGCTTCACATGCACTTTTCCTAACGAGGGCGCTATGATGCCGAAGTGTCATTCTCAGTTGTTTGATCACTTCAGCAGCTGCAACGTTTCCAGCGCATTTCTCCAAACTTTCTCTCGCAATTTTCGAGACATATGCATCCTGATCACCTAAAGTTATTACGAGCTTCTCGATTACTTCAGTGGTTGCTACTTTTACACCCATATTCCCCAGCGATTCACATGCACAATATCTAATCTGCGGACTCTTATCACTAAGAGCAAACAAAAGCCCCTTGATTATATCAGCGTCTACTTCTTTTTCAGCCATTTTCGTGAGAGCTATACACGCCTCTGTCCTGACCTTATCGTCCTCATTTTGAAGTGCAGCAAGGAATCCTTGGGCCACATCACTGCTTGCTGCTCGTCCTCTTAGAATGTTGAAAGCTTTCCAAGCGCTTTTCTTAACTTCCACATTCTCATCCCGAAGTGCGACAACGAGTTCCTTGATTACCTCGATGCTTGCTGCTTTTTCGCCCATATTCATAAGAGCTTCACATGCACTCTTCTGTACATCGGGATTCTGATTCCGAAGTACCACAACGAGTTCCTTGATTACCTCGATGCTTGCAGCTTTTTCACCCATATTCATAAGAGCTTCACATGCACTCTTCTGTACATCGGGATTCTGATTCCGAAGTGCCACAATGAGTTCATTGATAACTTCATGGGTTGCTACTTTTTCACCCATCTTACAAAGAATTTCACACACAATTTGCCGGACTCGTGGGCTCCCATGCCGAAGTGCCCCAATGAGCGTGTTGTTTATCTCGCTGCTTGCTGCTTTTTGACTGATTTTCATGAGAGCATTACGTATATTCCAATCAACGCCTGTATTCTGATCCCGAAGTGCTGCAATGAGTGCGTTGATTACCACACTGGTTGCTGCTTTTTCACCCATCTCCATGAGAGCTTCACATGCCATCCTCTGTACATCAACATTCTGATCCCGAAGTGCCACGACGAGTTCGTT